AAATATTTAATAACAATCCAAATTCAGAGCTGTATCAAGCTTGAATGTTGTGTCCATACTTGCCCCAACTGTTCAGGGTTCGACCTCTGCGGTCGTATCAAGCTGCGCCCCAGCGAAGCATTTTATTGATTATGGGCCCAGTTTTCAAGTTGGTCCAAGATAGGGTCCAGTATTTAAACTTTGTTTGATTTCAACAAAAATTGAATATATGAGGTTCTTTGATATGCTGAATCTAACCATGTATTTAGATTTTTTATTTGTAGGCCCCGCTATCAAATTGGTTCATATTGAGGTCAAAAGGGTCCAAAATAAAACTTTGTTTGATTTTATCAAAAATTGAATTATTGGGGTTCTTTGATATGCCAAATCTAACCGTGTTTTTAGATTTTTAATTTGGGTCCCGTTTTTTAAATTGGTCTTCATTGAGGTCCAAAGGGTCCAAAATTAAACTGAGTTTGATTTTAACAAAAATTGAATTCTTGGGGTTCTTTGATATGCTGAATCTAAACATGTGTCTAGATTTTTGATTATTGGCCCAGTTTTCAAGTTGGTCCAAGTTGGGGTCCAAAATTAAACTTTTTTTAATTTCAACAAAAATTGAATATATGGGGTTCTTTGATATGCTGAATCTAACCATGAATTTAGATTTTTTATTTGTGGGCCCCGCTATCAAGTTGGTTCATATTGAGGTCAAAAGGGTCCAAAATTAAACTTTGTTTGATTTCATCAAAAATTGAATTATTGGGGTTCTTTGATATTCCAAATCTGACCGTGTATTTAGATTTTTAATTTTAAGTCCCGTTTTTTAAATTGGTCTACATTAAGGTCCAAAGGGTCCAAAATTAAACTTAGTTTGATTTTAGCAAAAATTGAATTCTTAGGGTTATTTGATATGCTGAATCTAAACATGTGTTTAGATTTTTGATTATGGGCCCAGTTTTCAAGTTTGTCCAAGTTGGGGTCCAAAATTAAACTTTGTTTGATTTTAACAAAAATTGAATATATGGGGTTCTTTGATATGCTGAATCTAACCATGTATTTTGATTTTTGACATTGGACCATAATAGGTAAATTAAAAAAATTCAAGTTTTTAGACCACATTCTTTCTGTGTCAGAAACCTATGCTGTGTCAAATATTTAATCACAATCCAAATTCAGAGCTGTATCAAGCTTGAATGTTGTGTCCATACTTGCCCCAACTGTTTAGGGTTCGACCTCTGCGGTCGTATCAAGCTGCGCCCCAGCGAAGCATTTTATTATAATGTTTGTTTCTATCACTTTTAGGTTTTGAGCTTAAGCTATTAGCGCAAATACCATTGTTAGATAGCTTTCAATTAAAACAGGTTGAAGGATTAAAATATTTTTTTAAATTAGATTAAATACACTGTAAACTTCCTGGTTTTTATATGAACGCAAAAAATCTAACAACTTATTATACGACCGCAAAAAATTTTTGGGGTCGTATATTGGTATGACGTTAGCCTCGTCGTTGTCGTCGTCGTCCGAAGACACATTGGTTTTCGCACTCTAACTTTAGTTTAAGTGAATGGATCTCTAGGAAATTTTACCATAAGGTTCAATACCACAAAAAGAAGGTTGGGATTGATTTTGGGGGTTATGGTACCAACAGTTAAGGAATTAGGGGCCAAAAATAAGCATTTTTGTAACTTCCAGACATAACTTGTGTGTTAGTGTATGGATCTCTCTAACATTGTACCACAAGGTTCCATATCACAAAGGGAATGCTGGGATTGATAATGGGGGTAATTGTCTCAAAATTTTAGGAATTAGGGGCCAAAAAAGGGGCAAAAAATAAGCATTTTTTCTAGTTTCATGACAATAACTTGTTTGTAAGTGTATGGATCTTTCTCAAATTGTACTACAAGGTTCCATATCACAAAGGGAAAGCTGGAATTGAGTTTGAGGGTAATTGCCCAAAACGTTTAGGAAAAAGGGGCCAAAAAGGGGCCAAAAATAAGCATTTTTCTAGTTTCCAGACAATAACTTGTGTTCAAGTGTATGGATCTCTCTGAAATTGTACTGCAAGGTACCATACCACTAAGGGAAGGCTGTGATTGATTTTTGGGGTAATTGCCTCAAAGTTTTAGGAATTAGGGGCCAAAAGGGGAAAAAAAGAAGCATTTTTCTAGTTTCAGGACAATAACTTGTGTGTAAGTGTATGGGTCTTTATGAAATTGTACTACAAGGTTCCATATCACAAAGGGAAAGCTGGGTTTGAGTTTGGGGGTAATTGCCCGAAACGTTTAGGAATTTGGGGCCAAAAGGGGCCAAAACACAAGCATTTTTCTAGTTTCCAGACAATAACTTGTGTTCAAGTGTATGGATCTCTCTGAAATTGTACTGCAAGGTACCATACCACAAAGGGAAGGCTGTTATTGAGTTTTGGGGTGATGAATCATAAGGGGGTTCAAAAAATTGGGGGGGGGGGGTGTTTTTCCCTTTTTTTTCCTTTTTTTTTTTTTAATTTTCCATTTTAAATTGGTTATTTCTGATTTATATATAAAAGCAAATAATAATGATATGGTTTGAATAGGTAAATTAAAATTTTCTTAGACCACATTCATTCTGTGTCAGAAACCTATGCTGTGTCAAATATTTAATCACAATCCAAATTCAGAGCTGTATCAAGCTTGAATGTTGTGTCCATACTTGCCCAAACTGTTCAGGGTTCGACCTCTGCAGTCGTATCAAGCTGCTCCCCAACAGAGCATTTTATTTTTTATAGTGAAAATTGAAAACTTATTTGTAGCTACTATAGCTCTTTCCAAAGCAGGCGACCTATCCTGAAGCGAGAATTTTTTAAAAGACCAGGTAAAAATCTATGAAATTCATACAGTTTTGTTTATCTGAAATGTGCCTGTATCATGCCTACATGCGTATGCATATGACCTGATTTCAGGTTTTTATATGACCGCAAAAAAATTTTGCGGTCGTATATTGGTATCACGTCAGCGGCATCAGCGTCGTCCAAAGACATTTGGTTTCCGGACAATAACTTTAGTTTAAGTGTATGGATCTCTATGAAATTTAAGGAAAAAGTTCAATACCACAAAAGGAAGGTTGGGATTGTTATTGGGGGTGATGGTCCCAACCGTTTAGGAATAAGGGGCCAAAACAAGCATTTTTCTAGTTTCAGGACAATAACTTGTGTATAAGTATTTTGATTGCTCTGAAATTGTTCCACAAGATTCAATACCTCAAGTAGAAGGTTGGGATTCATTTTGGGGGTAATTGCCCAAACCGTTCAGGAATTAGGGGCCAAAAAGGGTCTAAAACAAGCATTTTTGTCGAGCCTTCGACTTTTGTCGAAAAAGCGAGACATAGCGATCCTACATTCCGTCGGCGGCGGCGTCCACAAATATTCACTCTGTGGTTAAAGTTTTTGAAATTTTAATAACTTTCTTAAACTATCCTGGATTTCTACCAAACTTGGACAGAAGCTTGTTTATGATCATAAGATTATATTCAAATGTAAATTTTGTAAAAAAAAAATTCCATTTTTCCGTATTTTACTTTTAAGTGGACTTAGTTTTTCTGCCAGGAAACATTACATTCACTCTGTGGTTAAAGTTTTTGAAATTTTAATAACTTTCTTAAACTATCCTGGATTTCTACCAAACTTGGAAAGAAGCTTGTTTATGATCATAAGATAGTATCCAGAAGTAAATTTTGTAAAAAAAAAAATCCATTTTTTCCGTATTTTACTTATTAATGGACTTAGTTTTTCTGCCAGTTAACATTACATTCACTCTGTGGATAAGGTTTTTAAAATTATTTTTTCCTCAAGATTTAAGAAATTGTCAATTTTCCGAAGAAAAAAATTGGGGGTCACAATTTATTTTGCCAATTCTTTGTATATAGTCTGAAAACAGATTTACTAAGTATTGCGCAACAGCACAGTGTAGGATTTTCTTGTTTCCAGACAATAATTTGAGTATAAGTCTTTGGATCTCTATGAAATTGTACTAGAAGGTTCCATACCAAAAAAAGGAAGGTTGGGATTGATTTTTGGAATTATGGCTCTAACCGTTTAGGAAAAAAGGGGCCAAAAACAATACTTTTCTGATACTTTGTATAAATTGCTTATTTCTTTACCTATTTCAATGGGGTTTAATTCAAAGAGAATTCTTAGGATTCTTTTATATGCTGAATCTAACTGTATTTAGATTTTGGAATTTGGGCACAGTTTTTAAATTGGTCTACTTTGAGGTCCAAAGGGTCCAAAATTAAACTTTTTTTGTTTGATTTCAACAAAAAGTGAATTCATGAGGTTCTTGGATATGCTGAATCTAACCATGTATTTAGATTTTGGATATTGGACCTTAAAAGGTAAATATTCAATTTTAATTTTTTAAGTTCTTAGACCACATTCATTCTGTGTCAGAAGCCTATGCTATCTCAAGCTTGAATCCATACTTTCCCCATTTGTTCAGGGTTTTGACCTCTGCAGTCCTTCAAGCTGCAACCTGCGGAGCATTTTTATGCCCCTGTCGTAGCGGAGGGGGCATTAAGTTTTACCCTTGTCTGTCTGTATGTCCGTACGTCCCGAATTTGGTTTCCGTTCTGTAACTTTAGTTTGCCTCAACCAAATGTTATGAAACTTATACACAATGCTTATTACCACAAAACACAGATCAAGTTTGAATTTTGGTGGTATCACTTTTACCTTTCTAGAGTCATGCCTCTTTACAAATGGAAAAATTGCTGAATTTTTCATTTCTGTTCTCTAACTTAAGTTTGCCTCAACCAAATGTTATGAAAATTATACACAATGCTTATTACCACAAAACTCAGATCAAGTACGAATTTGAGTAGCGTCACTTTTACATTCTTGAGTTATGTCTATATATAACGTTCTATGCAAGCGGGGGGGCATCATCTATGCCCCATGGACACATTCCACAATTATGTTATTTGATATTTGGATAATTGTTTGCTTCATTTTTTTTTTTTATTTCAGATCTTTTTTCTATTTTTAGACTTGCTGTTTGATAAGAGTCCCAGTTGAAGTCATAAAACAGAGAGCTCAGGTTTTCACAAATACGTCATCATACAGTGTTCTTAGAAATACCTTACAGTCTGAAGTAAGAGGTTAGATAGAGAAAAAAAATTCACAGATATTAATAATAAAAAGAAAAGGAATATTAATTTTATTCAACATATATGCAAAAATATAGAATGGACAAATAGAATCTTAAAAGACCAAACATGCATTTTACGGATTCAAAATAAGTTTTGTCAAGAAGACATGGATTAAACACCACAAATAGCTACTGAATTTATTTCTAATTCCCAACAAGGAGAATTGAGATTCATAAGATTCTAAACTTTTACATTTATACTGTTTTGATAGTGTATAAACAAAAAAAATCATTGCATTTTTAAATAGCATGTTATAAATTACAGTTCAAATGATAATTCTGAACTGGACGTCTTTGCCGGCTTATGTGTATTTTTTTTATTAACTTCCTAATTTGTTTAAGACCTGTGAAGGGGTAATACCACCACTGTTTTTCCCTTATTAGTCTTTGTTGAATTTTCATTTTTCAAAAAATTGTGCAGAATTTATCTTTGTTTCAAATAAAGAAATACTTGGCAAGAGTAACATTTTATCCTGTCCAGGACTATAGTGAAAATTTCACACAACATTTCATTGCATATAAGATAATAACCATCATTGAAAAAAAACAATCAAATTTTCACCCTTTTTTTTCCTGTTTACAATCTTTAGTAACCATATCTCAATTTTCCATAATATTTTATAACAAGAGGCTGTCAGACTGACAGCAAACCCGATTTTCCTGCAGAGGTCGAACCCTGAACAGTTGAGCAAGTATGGACACTGCATTTAAACTTAAAACTGCTCTGAATTTGGATTGTGATTGAATATTTGACACATTATAGGTTTGTGACACAAATTAATGTGGTCAAAGAACTGAAATATTTGAAATTGGACATTTACCTATTATGGTCCAATATCCAAAATCTAAGTACATTGTCAGAATCAGCATATCAAAGAACTCCAAGAATTCAATTTTTGATGAAATCAAACAATAGTTTCATTTAGGACCCTTTGGACCACAATGTGGACCAATTTGATAAAGGAGCCCACAATCCAAAATCTCTCAATACATGGTTAGATTCAGCATTTCAAGGAACCACATAAATTCAATGTTTGTGAATCAAACAAAGTTTAATTTTGGACCCTGATTTGGACCAACTTGAAAATTGAGCCCAAAAATTTAATATTTAAATACAAGTTTAGATTCAGCATTTGAAAGAACCCTATATATATTCAATTTAAGTTGAAATGAAACACAATTTATTTTATCCATATATTTTCTGTGCAAAGGGAAATAACTCAAACTGGATAAATATATATATGATTATAATCAATAAACCAGTGATGACTAAGTTCTATAAAATTAGATATGATTTCAAATTATAATCAATAATATAATAACAACAACCTGTGATGACTAAGTTCCCTAAAATTAGATATGATTTAACACTCAAACATTCTTAAAATCAGCATATCAAAGAACCCAAGAATTCGATTGTTGATTAAACAAAAGTTTAATTTAGGACCCTTTGTACCTCGATGTGGTATTATCTAACTAATAATTAAAAAAAAATACAGGTTTAGATTCAGCATTTCAAAGAACCCTATATATATTCAATTTATGTTGAAATCAAACACAGTTCAATTTTGGACCCCGATTTGGACCAACTTGAAAACTGGGTCCAAAATCAGAAATCTAAATATATGTTTATTAATAGACAATATAAGCTTAGTTTTGAAAGGAGTTCACCTAATCAAAAAAAATATATATAGCTTTCAGAAAATTAGTTTTTACAGAATAACAAACAAACTTACCTCAAAATTCTTCAAACAATTTACCAAAGAAAAGAAAAAAAAAATCAAAAATTTTATTTATCATTAATACCATGTCTTTTAAAAATCTATAAATCTTATCTGTAATTATCTTCAAAATGTCTAATAATGAACAGTAAATTTATAACTATAATTACTCCTATATAGCTTTTAATCATCAACACTTAGAAAACAGATAATTTTCAATAAATCTGTCACTCCAATTATAATAGTGAGATAAGACATTAACCATATGTTTAGTAAACTGATAACAGGACATACAAGTTGCTTTTTAAAAAAAAAAAAAGACAATACATGAACCTTAGAAATTTGTTATTCTAATTATTAATTCAACTGAATAAGAAATTATATATCAATGTTATCTTGGCCATGTGTGTGGAGGATAATATTTTCTTTTTATTGTAAATCATTACAATTTTGTCATGTTGAGAGAAGTGTTGAATATAAAGCAAGGAGAGAAAAAAAAAGATTCCCAGACGTATAATTTCTGAAAGAATAATAATAATTCAAAACATGGAGGACACATGTACCTTCTTCCAAAAATTCATAAAATTAATCTAGAAATAAGTAATGAGTCATTGCGAACTGGTCAGCTAGCAGGACACATTAATGTTCGTTACAGACCAATTATCAATAAGTGTAACTCTCCTGCGAGAGATACTTACTTGATCTAATTATAAATATAAAAAAGAAGATGTGGTATGATTGCCAATGAGACAACTCTCCACAAGAGACCAAATGACACAGAAATTAACAACTATATGTCACTGTACGGCCTTCAACAATGAGCAAAGCCCATACTGCATAGTCAGCTATAAAAGGCCCCGAAATGACAAATGTAAAACAATTCAAACGAGAAAACTAACGGCCTAATTTATATACAAAAAATGAACGAAAAACAAATATGTAACACATCAACAAACGACAACCACTAAATTACAGGCTCCTGACTTGGGACAGGCACATACATACAGAATGTGGCGGGGTTAAACATGTTAGTGGGATCCCAACCCTCCCCTAACCTGGGACAGTGGTGTAACAGTACAACATAAGAACGAACTATAAAAATCAGTTGAAAAAGGCTTAACTCATCAGATGGATACAAACAGAAATACTACACAGAGTGGACGTGGCCGGGTACTTGTATATCCCAACAACAAATAGACACTAAGTACAGATCTGAGAGTACTTGCAGTTACTGACAGCTAGTTCAAAGCCACTAACAACTAATTAAAAAAATCATGCATCTAAGACTAAATTATCAATTAGTACACATCCAACATCCAATTATTGAAGAGGCATAACTTTTACATTCAAGATACAAAAAAAATCGTTAATAAAATAGAGTCATACAAGGTAAAAAAGTATGCATTCTTATTGCCTATGATATACGTCAATGTACACAAATATGATAATTGATAATTTAGAAGAAACTGTTATCAATGCAATAGAATTTAATGACACACAGGAGAATATACTTTAAAGATTCTCAACAAAATAGATTTAACTGCATTTGTTAAATTAATTTTTAGAAACAATGAATTTAAGTTTAATGGACTGTCATACAAACACATTATAGGAGCGCCCATTGTCACCAACATGCACAGATCTGCATCTGTCTGCCCTATTCATTAAAATCTTAGATAAGTTCCAATGGAGAGAAAACATCAAATTACACTGTCAATAGGGATGACGGTTTTATGGTCTTCACAGGCAAATTAGAGCAAGTTGAAGATTTCTTTAACCTTGCAAACGAAATTGACCATCTACTTTAGTTCTTATATGAGGTGTCGACATCTAGTATGGCCTATTTAGAGGGTGGTAAAGGGTTATTTTCATGCAACGTTTTCAGCCTTTTTATTTCACGTGTTTCCGTGTTTCAACGTTTTATTTCTCTTTTTTCTCGTGTTTGGTTCGATGTGCGTGCTTCGTGTTTTCCCTTAATTATTTTCCGTGTTTCGTGTCGGTACTCTTATTTTCTCGTGCTTGTCCCGCATTTGATTAAAAAGTAAACCGTGACTAATTCAAAGTCAGCCCAAATATTGTTTTAAATTATAAACTAATTAACTGGTCCCAAGATATTTATTAATAGCCTATTGTATTACTATGATAAATCGGATGCAACTAACGGACGCTAAAAGGTGACCACATGCAGGGTCGCCATGTCCATTTATAATGACTGCATGATCTCCAAGAACGGCTGAGTAATAACTTTTGGTACTTTTTTCCTTAATATTTAGGCCCTACGATTTTATTCCTTGGCTTCGTTTTTCCAGAGTGTGTTTTTTCCGTGCAACGTTTTTGCGATTTGTTATTTCACGTGTTTCCGTGTTCAGACCCTCCCTTTTACCACCCTCTATTTAGATACCGAAGTGTACAAAAGTGAACGATTCCATAATAATGGAATTCTTGATGTTAAGTCACATTTATTAAAAACACAGAAACGTATCAATATTTACCAATCACTAGTGCACTTCCAAAACACACATAAATTTAAGAGCATTACAGTGTGTGAATAATATAAGAAATTTCTACTTCTACCACTAAGTGACCACCGTCATTTGGTTGACTATCCTGTCACTGTTTGGTGTGCGCTTGCATACTTAACAAGTCCAAAAATAATTTTAACAGAAAGGAAATAATTTGTGCTGTACATAACATTTATACATGGTGCAAATAAAAACATGGGACTTGAAATTTAATGTGCATGCAGTAGTCTCTTGAACGAGTCAAGACTTTCTGCAGCGGTCACTGAAATAATAGTGACATTAATGAATTAAATAAACATTTAATTAACTTACAAGATAACTTAATTGATAGAGAATACTGTAAAAAGGAAACAGAAAAAGTTTTAAAAATGTATATTAACGAACAGTCTTTATTTTACTTGTTTTATTTTCATTTGAAACAGATTTTTTTTTATCTGATTTGTCAAAATGACAAGTGTGCATAATGATTTTATTGTTACAAATCAAATCCCAAAGCCCACTATAACTCATTATGTAGAAACCACAGCACTATTTTAAAATATCTCTCTGTGAATATCTAGACACAGATGTTTGATACCATAGGTCGTTATAATTAAATCTTGACCATTTAACTTTCACTTGTTTATCAAAGGGTACAACTGTCAAATTTGCTCAAGTCAGTAAACCCTTGCAATGCATAAAATGTAGCTTTACAATAAAT